AGACTTATAATGCTTACTGAAAGATATATACACACAAAATTAAAAAGTAAATAGTATCAAATCTATAAAGACTTTATACGACTACAAAAAGGTGAAATTGACCTAGCCCAAGTGGAAAGAGTTAACATCCCGGGAATAATTAACACCGAGAGATAGCGGAAGGGAAGGAACCATAACAATCCGCAATTACCTCCACCACGACCCACAACACTGATGGAATATAAACGAGGGAGGAATATAGACATCTGTAATACATGTGTGAGGACTTATGTTGATTGGTTGTACTCTAAATCCAAAACCCGGCTACTGGAAACCAACATCCATGTGGGGGTAGGATGAGGGATCCCAATCAAAGTGGTGAACTGCACTTTTGACGTCTCACTCCCATTCGTTTTTATGTTTCATACTGGAGGATATCATGTCATCTACACCAGCAGAACACCAACACCCTACTCTTAACTGAATGGTTTTATAATCATTTCTATATTTTGTTTGTATTTCATTAACCCATCCAGGAATGCACCTCCACAGCCCACCCAGTGGCTTGGAACTAGAAAGTGGTAAGGACTCCCAAGCTCCACTAGCAGAAAAGGGAGGTAAAACATGGTGGAGAGCCTGGAGGAACAACACCACCTGAGACAGTGCAACGGGTGACCACAAAACCCTATTTTTAAAAGCGGACCATACCAATTTATTCAATACAAGGCATGACAAGTATGGGCAGCTATACCCTTTTGCTCTACCCCTGTAGTCCATGGAAGGGTACAGTCTGGGATGGACAAACTTATGAAGCAATTCTATCACAAGAATAAACTTACAAGCAATCTTGTGGAACACCCCCATCTCTGCTGTGTGCATTGCGTGGCCATGGAATTATAATATGCAAGTTGACGTGGCTTGACAGTGCAGATCTGAACAGTTAAAGAAAACCTGGTCAGGCACCACTCGCCACAGAGCGGGATCCAAACAACGAGCATTAATAAAAGGGAAAAGAGCCCCTGAAAAGGAGAAATAAGAAATAAAATAACTTACCCAGTCAAAGTCTCACTAAATTCTGATATTTTATGATGGCTACAGATAGAAGATGATAACCAGAAGAGGAAGAAAACAGTGATCCAATGCAAATAGTGAGAGATGAACGTATCATGGGTAGCTGAATGAAGAAGCATCTCCAAAGGACGACGAAGATGAAACGCCAATGAAAAGGTAAGGTGATGATTTGGGTGAGAAGACATTTGGAACAAAGTATGGAAGGAAGACGATAAAGAGGAAGAAGCCAATCAAATGAAGAGCCAAACCCAACTGGCAAAGGAGGAAGGAGAAAGAACATGAACAGAGGACGTTTTCCAAGGGAGAGAGGTGGGAATGGACATCACAGAAAGAAGCCATGCAGGCAATATATAACAGAGAAGAGCACGTACAGGACATAGAAGTCTATCCGGATCAGGTCAAGGAGAAAGGTGTGAAATGTAAGAAAGGGAAAGCAGCTAAACGGAGGAGTTATCTTCATGAGCTGCCAAAGTATGAAGAAGGAAAAATGATCTGAACAAAGGAGAAGATATGTAGAGGAATAAAGAGTATGTGAAACATCACTGGTAAATAAACGACCAGACATCCATAGGTGAATAGAGTGAATCAAATGTAGGCAAAGTGAGGCAGTGTAGGACCACATTAATATCCCCATCTGGAAGGGCAGCCTGTCCCGGCGGACTACAAATCCGAAAGGAGCACATACACACGTAAAGTGTACTTGAGGGAAACACCTGTGGAATTGGGAAAAACAAAAGATGTGGGACAGGACCACCCAAAATCTGAGTTTGAGGAGACAGAAAACCCCTTATGCAAAAGTCAAGAGAGGAAATCCACATGATAAAAAACAGTGGGTTGATTAGGGGAAAACCATGGAACCAGAAACCAACAACAAAAAATTCCATTTGCATTGAGAAACTATCATATAGGAAGGGTGAATGAAACAAGCCCAAAAAGAGGCTAACTGTCGGGAAAAGCCGGATCACATTCCCAATGACCAGACGTGAAAACAGAGGACAGGAAGGTTTGGATGAAACACAGGTGACTGAGGGTGGGGAAGAAGGGATGAAGACAGAGGAAAAGGAAACGGAGGGAGAAGTTGAAGCTGAAGAAGCTGTGGAAACCATAGCTGAGATGGCCAGGAAAGGGCTATCAGAAGGACTGAACATGGAGTGTCAAGGATGAACAAAATCACCCAGAGAAGAAGGAGAATGGGACGATAGAAAAATGTGTAGGACCAATCCTGGCTGTAAACATCATTAGCCAGAGCAAGAAGACAAGGAACCGGAGACCAAAACCAAGGCATTCTGGGGTTAAGGGACATAGCAAAAGCCTCAATGTGATGAGTACTCCACTGAAGTTAAAGCCACTGGAAAACAAAAGCAATAGAATTTCACGAGCTGTAATCGAACTGAAAACCTACCGAATGAAGTCGAAGAGGAGAAGGGCGGGCCCGATTGAGATGTGTGTAAAGAGAAACATTCCTGTTTGTCATTGATAAACATAGAAAAACAGCCCACCTAAGGGTGAGAAACAACTCCAAGGTAAAATGGGACAGATTGAAAATTAGAATGAGGTGGGACAAACCTAGTACAAGCCGCCAGTCTCCGGTTTGGCAAGAGGATAACAAACAGCCTGGAGAAAGATGATGAAAAGGTGAAATGGCCTGTAGAGACAGAAAATCCAGTTCCACCTCAGACAGAAGCAGGCTGTTGTCAAAATCCCAAGTCATGGGGAAGGACAAAGGAGGTGTGGAAAGGAATTGGATGAAAATTCCTCTGATAAAACCTGAAGAACCCATGGAACTGTAGTGAAAGATCACCAATGGGTAACAATATAATAGTCAAGATCCAACTGGACCAGAACCCTCTGGTCCATCAACGTTGAATAAAACAACGAGATGAGAAACCCCTGGAAGAGGGACAGGGATGGGTAGATAAGGACCAGAACGGGAAAGGAATTAGGGAGTGTCATGGCACCAACTGTGAGAAACGTGCAACCAAAGAGGAAAGGATCGAATGTTGATGCCCAGATTACACACAAGATTTCAAAGTCGCAGATACATGATCGAAAACATATCACTAAAGAAAAATACAGAAATCCTAAAAAGAAAGAGGAAGCAAAAGTACCTGGGACAAGGTAACATCACAACCCAGAAAATCCCAACTATAGTGAAACCACACGTGTAAAGCGAGAGCTGAAGATGACTAATGAGCCAACATGGAGGTAATAAAGAATCATAGAAAAATGGGGAACTTGATAAAATGTACCTGTAAAATCATGTTGGAAAATGCTGTATTAGGCCTAACGGATTCTGCAAAAGGAGTAGGGTAAAACACAACAAAATCTGGTGGTGTAAAAAGGCTATCAAATCTTCATCAGCCCAAACAGGTTCACCATGTTCAGGAGGATTAGTGGTTCACCCATATAACAATCAATCTGCCAATGGATAATAGCAGAGAAATCTAACAACAGGGTTCCCCCACCTGCAGCCTGTGAAAATAGTGCTAGAGGTAGAACAACTGATATAGGAACCTCAGAATTCCTTGTAAAAATATGTAAATTAAACAAAAATGTTTGATGAAAAATCTATGAGAGTGAGGGAAAAAAAATAAAGACTGGAGAATTAAGATAAATTAAAAGATTTTTTCAATGTTAAGAAAAAAATAATGAAGAAATCCCACTTCAGCAATTAAACTATGAAAATCACGATTTACACAAAGGCAGCCAAAGAAAATAACATCTGAACACAAGTACTGCCAAACAAGAAGTGACAGTTCAGTAGAATTGAATAGAGGGAGCCACAGGCATCATGAGGATGTGTCACACTCTTATTGGTGGAAGGTTGACGTATGATGATTTGCCTGAGAATCAGTCAATTCCAATGGAAGTGAGATAAAAGGCTTGTGGCATGCGTAAAATGTTTTTTGTATTTAGAGGGCAGCACTGAACAAGAATAGCTATTTACGTAAGAAGAGGTAATGTACCATATTGCAATAAAAATATTTACTACTTTTCCAATATATTTATTACTTAACTGTCTGAAGAAACTACATCCAAACATTGTAAAAACATTAAATTGCCAATGACAAGATTTAAATTTTGGAATTCTAAATACACAGGGTCCTCGCTATACATGGTCCCTCTTTATGAAATTTTGCTTTTACACCATTGACTAAATAATGAATAAATAATAAAAGGAAAAAAATCACAATTTCCTATTTCTAAAATACTTAAAAATGCAGTACTTTTGAACAATGTATGCAAAAGCAACACGGTGGCACTACTCTTAAGAAATTAAATTATATCGACAAGTACACAGATTGTAAATATATATGGCATCAGTTTGAAGCCAAACCCCTTGCAAAATGAGTTCTAAATGTCCAAGGAGTGGTAGTTCTTCATGTTACGAGCAGCAGCAGAGAAAAAGCGTTAGTTTAGATGTTAAGGGGAACAGACTATTGATATTGCTAAAGCACTGAGCCTGCTGCCATCAAAAGAACCATTCAAGAAAACACTGAAAAAATTAAGAAAAGTGCTTAAAGTGTTACATAACAAGAAATCAAATAACTCCACCACTCCCAACCCTCACCCAGCTGGCATCAACAAGAAAGCTCCTAATCCAACTCATGGAAGTGTTATTTTATTTGTTACATTATCAAATAAGGTTTTATGTAATTTAAAAAAGGTACAGTATCATTTGTGAGAAATATCTGACCAGAAATGACCCACCAGGAACATAAATCCTTACTTATAACATTGGGCGTATGGTAATATTAGCTTTGCTTTACGCTGATTCATTATACACAGTGTTTTGTAGGAATGCAACCCCCAAGTAGAGCGAGGACTTCCTGTACAGAATCTCTCATAGTCAAGTTCTTTTGTTAAAAGTTCTTAACTTGTGAAACAGTCGCCTGATGATATGGTGATGTCATGAGTTTGAATTGTCTTAAAAAATTAAATACGTAGGACTATGAAAGTGGAGGGTTATTTATAAGGAGGTTTAAGAAAATAAACAGCAGTGGATATTTATTTGAATTAATTGGTGTTTTTCTTTGGGAGGAGTGTGATCGTGGCAGACCACGTAGTCTTCTTCTTCTATAACAACTTACCTTGGGTACTTGTCTTCCTGATTTTTTCATCTCTTCTCTATACCATTGAGTGAAATTAATATATCCAGTGGTGGCACGTTTTGGTGCAAGCATGCCATTTTTGTTCATCTTTGGCTTCTTTTTCATCTTCCCACCACCACTTTTAGCAGCTGGATACGTTCCCATGAGATGTGATCCATGAGAGAAATGACTGGGAGCATTGTTATTTGGAAAATGTGATCCCTGTAATCCAGCTCCTGCTAACTGATTAGCAACATTCATTGTTAAATTAAGACCTGCTGGTAACATCGAAAACTGAGCCATAGAAGGATGGATGCCAGATGCTGAGTTCCCACTTGAGGCCATGGCTGCTGCTTGCTGCTGTGCCATTCCTTGATAGTCATACTCTGTTTTAAATAAACAAAATACAACTAATATTCACTTCTGATCAGAGCAGAGTATCCATAGCAACTACTCATTATCTACAACATGTTGAATATTTATGTTAAGTGTTATATCTTTTTGTTCACATTTAAAACTGAAAATTTTACTGTTTGGCTTTTAAGGAAAAATATATGTACTTATTTAACGATAATTCTTCTGAATTCCAAAGAAATCATGGTTTTAAAGCTGTATCCCTCTCCTCATAGCTTCTAAACAAGGCATCCTTCAAGTTGCCCATTTCAGTACTCTTTCAAACATGTCATATTTTTTGTAATAGGACCAAAACTCCAAACACTACTCCAAATAAAGCCCCAAAGCTGCAATAACCTTCTTCTTCTTAAAGTTCAAATTCTTATAAAATAATAAAGCTAAGAACCTTATTTAACAATGGCTTGAATGGGTAATGAAGAAAAACTTTATTATAAGTTTAACATAACAGCAACTGTACAACGTTTCGACAAGGTGTTCAACGGACTACATAAATGAAGAATTTAACCACTTAAAGCATTCCTTTATTCACACCAATAAATTCCCACCAGCTATAGTTGAAAAGCTCTCCAACATTCCCCACAATAAAACTCAACTCACAAACAAAATTGACACTAACAAATCCAACAACAGTACATTACACTGCAGTTTACCTTTTGTTCCTGAAACCAGCTCAAGAATTATCCACACTTGGACTAAACTAGCCAGTAAACACAATATTCCTGTCAACGTCAAATTCTCATCAAAAACCCGGCCCTAAATTAAAATCATTACTAAACAAAAATTATTTAGAATCACACAACACCAACGTCATTTACAAAATAACATGCAATAACTGCCCTGAATTCTACATCGGAGAAACAGGAAGAAAATTGGAAACCAGATTGACAGAACACAATAAAAAACCGTCCCATGTTTTTCACCATTGCAACTCAGAAAACCATAGTATATCTATTAAAAACACAGTCAATTTAAACAAAGAACCCAACACAAACAAACGAAAAATCAAGGAATCCATCTTAATTGAACAAAACAACCCTACTCTAAACTAACACCCTGGGGTGCCTAGATACTTCTTCTAAGTTTCACAACAGTTCCGGTCATGTGACCTCTTTGTTCAATACTGTGTATATATATATATATATCCGTGTCAGTGTAAATTACTTGTACCTAATGATGACAAAACCTTGTCGAAACACTGTACATTTGCTGTTATGTTAAACTTATATTAAAGTTTTCTTCATTACCCAATTAAGCCGTCTCCAGCCATTATTAGTCTCAAAGTGGGTTCCTCGTCATCGAATAAGAACCTTATTTGTTCTTTTCAGCTGAAAATGACTTAGAAGACTATGGTTTTATCAACAGTTACATCCAAGTGCATATCTGTTTTCTACGAAGCTCCTCTCATAAAATTTATGCATGAGGTTATGCCCACTGTTTCTTATTTTTAAGTAAAAGAGGACACATCACTTAGAATTACAAATTGAAGAAATAAAATAATTTCCCTTCATTAAGTGACTAGACTTTGCATTATTTTTACAAAATAATCAAAAGGTTTCTTGATAGAAACACTGAATTCTTTAATTCACTTTCCATTACAGCAATTCTAATCATTTATTTTTCTGTGTTCATATTTCATGCTAGTTTTGTGTTAACACTTCAATTCAAATAACCATCTTGATCTTCCACAAGTTCATATATAATAGATTAATACACTCCAAGTTCATACTTTCAGTTTAAGTTAGCCTTTAAATAAATTCTAATTTTTCATATGTTTATCAATTAAACATGTTTTATTAACTATTTGCCTGTCTGTTTTGTTTTTAACTAAACACACATTTCCTGAAAAAGCACCCTCAGCGAGATAGATGAAATGCAAACCGTGTCCTGATTGGTCTAATACTTGATGCTTACTGTTACGATTACGTTAATTGGTTTAAAATCACTGAGCTTGATCTAAGCCTATTTCAAGCTCCGTTCCTTTGCCCGATTCATATTTAGTAGATGGCAGACACCAACCTACGACTACGAGTCTGATTTTATAAACAAATATAAACCTGAAAATAACGAGTATAAAGGTATTTAATACTGCCTGATTAGCTGATAAGCAAACATAAATACATATTTGTCTCAAAAATTTGAAATTAGCTACTTTTATAAGCAAATTACCATTGTAAAAAAATATACTCGAGTAATGGCGGGAAAGCGTGGCAGCTTTAAAGTGTAACAAAAAATCGCTTTATAATGAATAACTTATTTTGATTACAGTTGGGAAGGCCAAGAAAAATAAGTTCAGTTTCTTTAAGTATTATTTATTATTATGTCTTTTAGTAAACTCAACTTACCCATGATTCCTATTATTAAAATATTTTTTTAAATAAACTATTCGCCTTCACTGTATTATAATACTATAGTATACGCTGAACTTCACGCATCTATTGTGTAGTTTTTGGCGCACGCGCTGTAACGTCACCTAGTATCCTTACAAATCTTCCAACTCTATTGGCGCATTGCCACCTAGCGGTGATGTAGTAGTGAGATATTTTTAGTGTTAAAACACTTGTAGGCTTAAAATTTACGATTTTGAAACACTGATATAATGATATATAGGAGTAAATGTGGAAAACAGAATACATTATTGTGAATGAACACGTTTAGATTTAAAAAGTTGCAAGGTAAATGTAAAATAGTGTTATAGTTAAACTTAAAGTAAGATTCACATGAAATGTATAAATTATGCCTTGGACTGTTGGAGTTTAATCTTAACTATATTATATAATATAATATATATATATATATATATATATATA